CCGAACACACCTGAAAAAACATACATACCGACACCGAGCCCATCATTCAAAAACTGAACAACTGCTAACCTTTCTTAAAAATTCCAGAAGCCTGTTGAATTTTCAAACTCTTCTAAAAAACATATGTTAATATAAAGCGTTTTACTCATTCAATATACGTTTCATGATCCTAAACGCAGTTGCAGACATGCGTCCTTCCGTCAAACGCTTCGTAAGATAAATTCTATCCTCTCTTCCCAAAATAAACTCACCCATTGAAACAATTTTCTGCGATTTTTCTTTTAGAACTTATCTCGACGTTCTGAATTTTATTGAGAGTTTTTGACTTTTATGGCAATTTAAAATCGATTTCATATAATATTCTAATGCAGATTAATATATTCCTAATTTACCTGATGATGAATGGATTAAGCCCCATTCGAAACAATCGTCGTAAATAGGTTGGAATACTCTTAAAATAACTCACACACTCTCACCCACCCACCCTCACCACCCTGGTTGAATTGTTATGACTTTGATGCAATCTTACTTACATCCCTGGACAAAAGTCTTTCCTCCCTCGGTTCTCAGTCACCATAAGGGCTAGAGGTCTGATAATTTGTGTGCACATGCTCAACCAGGAATGTAGGTCAGCGGCACCACTCGCACCCAGATTGCTTGAGTGGAAACATAATTATGATCGAGGCATCTATTTTTTTGCTTTTAGCTTCGTAACCTAAATAGGCTGCCTACTTAAGTTTGCCCTGTTAATTATGAAATACATATGTAATTCTGAATATTTTTACATGAAACTAAAGCCCAGTATATGATCTTCCTTCATCCAAAAGATAAGTTCATTTGCTCGAATATTGATGTCTTCAGATCCTTGACACTAACACGATAATCATCAGTGTGCTATTTCTCTCTAGTACAACATTTGATTCTGAAATTTGCAGGTAACAATGCCAATCTACGGATAAAACTTCTCTGAAAGTTTCAGTTCGATTCATTAAATTATCATTGAGTTATGGGTCTTCAAAGGACAATAGATGGCTTTTTGTACACCGACAGTTACGATAACATGACCACTGTTCTTGAACGGGTTGATGAACTTCCACGAAATTTGTGTAACAGATAGCTAGAACATAGCCCTACATAATGATGCATCTGGCGACTCACAACGTCCTTGTCTTCCAGAGTTATGAAGCTCAAAGCAAAAATAGACACCATCTTTCATAACTCCATTTCCACTCAAACAATCGGGGTGTGGGTGGTGTCGCTGACCTACATTCCTGGTTGAGCATGTGCACACAAATTATCAGTCCTCTAGCCCTTATGGTGACTGAGAACCAAGGGGGGAAAGACTTTTGTCCAGAGGTGTAGATAAAGGTCATAATTTATTCCTAGATAGTTGGTTCACAAGTCCTGCCCTATTTGAAAAGTTGCATGCAAGATCAATCGGTGCATGCGGTCCTGTAAGATTAAATAGAGTTGGTTTACCTAGGTTTGAAGATAAAATTCAGAGAGGTCAACAAGTTTATAAAAGTACAAATAACATGCTAGTACTGAAATGCTATGATAAAAGAGAAGTTACAATGCTATCCACTATCCATCAACCTCATATGGGTTTTACTGGAAAAAATAATCCAACAACTAAGCAACCAATTTGAAAACCAATTTCAATAATTGGCTATAATTCTAAAAGAGGAGCAATTGCCAAAGTTTACATGCAAATCAGTTTTGCTGACTGTATAATAAAATCTGTCAAATGGTATAGAAAATTACTTTTTCATATGCTTGATTTAGTAGTTTCAATTCTTATTTGCTTTACAATATGGAAAGTGGAAAGAGACCTGAATCCGTAGACTTTCGTTTGCAACTTATACGTGAAATTTTACACAGCTATCATATTCCAAAACCTAGCCGCTAGAGGAGTCCTAGACCCTCGCAGGTTGTTCATCATATGGAGTTTCTTCTGTTCAAGGGATTGAAGCTGATCCTCTGCTTATATAGAGATAGACAGACTCTTGTTGGATTTTCTGTCCGATGACAATTTGTACTAAAGATCCGTTTGTCAGGACCAAGATGCTAGTGAGCCACCTGCTGAGACCCTTGAGCAAGGTCCAAATTGCGATCATGGCTGCTTTGGTGCTCACCCTCACTCTCACCCTTAAGAAGCTGAACAAAGCACCTGGGAATAAACGTCAAACATATGCCCATCATGGTTGTAGGCTGATCAGCATGTTTGCTTGTTTAAAGCGAATGAGACAAAAAAGGTTTTGGAAAGTCTAAACAGGTTTATGTACAATAAATGGTTCAGATCATTTCTGAGATCGTCGTAGGTGAATCAGATAGAGAGAATACGGTATTTGGTACATGAGTCTGACCTTTCTTTAGAGTAACATACAGAAGCTCGAACGTTTCTTTGCTACAGGGTTCAGTTCGTCTCGTGAACGACTGACCGGAGAAGTTGCTGACTGACTAGCAAGTGCGCTTTCGGATTTTTGGTCATTAGCCTCTTTATCAACTTTAAGCAAAACCGACGGTTGATTTTCATGTGTTGTGGTCGTTTGCTGCTCTGGTTGTTGCTGCTGTTGGACGAATGGTGGTTGCAATAGTGGCAACGGCTCTTCAACTTCTCGTGAACGAGCGACCCGTGAAGTAGATGGCGAAGGTACACTATCGAATTCTCCTTCATTGTACTCTCCATAATTTATGGGCATAACTGACGGCTGATGCGCGAATGGTGGTTTCAACAACGGAAACGGCCCTTCAATTTCCCTTAATTGAATAATATGAAGATCCGAAGCAGGTGACATTTTACCCAAGATAAGGAAGCGTGTTGCTGGTAACAATAAAATTTCACTCTCAGCGCCATAAAAAGAATGATTTCTAATTATTTTACCACTGTAGCACTCAATATTGAACAGGGTACGAGGGCCGTAATTTCCAAGAAAATGATCTGATTGAAGTACATCGAGTGAATCGGTACACGAACTGAAACCCCACCATATAAGTTCTTCACCAACTTTATAATGATCACTGATGTTTTGTCTTACTCCACGCCAGACAGTCCCTTTGTGAGATGGTAATTTCCAGAGAGCAGTAAAAATGAGTTTTAAATATGCGAAAAATGGAATTAGCTTTCGACGATCTTTATGACGCAAATATTCATTTAGAACATAGTAAAGACTTTCGTCACCTCGTGAAGCTTCCATACTGTACAATTGTATCGAAGCCGATTCGTCTTGCGTTAAGCCGTCTTCTGGATGTTCACAATTCCGTTTTGCAATATAAATCTTTTCTTTAATATGCGGATCGATTAAATGCTCCACGGGTCTGATAGCCTCTGCCAACGGTAATAACGGTGCATCTTGATATCCTTCAATTGGAAGTAGCAATCGTGCGGGTTCCTCAAATATGATGGTAAACCGCATAGTCCCTTCAATAGAGCAGACGTCGTCGATGAGACTGGGCAGGAATGTGCCCGGAGATGGTTGTGACGGGATTTCGTCACTGGTTGTATTGGGCTGTAGTTCTGATTCAAACGCTGCTATGCTGTTTGTGCCATCTTCTTCGCTGCTGGTCGAATTTCGCTCATTGGTACGAGCATTTGGTTCCTTTGTCGCGGCATTTCTCATGTTGGTTGTGACATCAACACTATTACTATCTTGTGTGCTTATAACAGGTGGTGGTGGCACGTTTTGATCGTTATTATCAACAGCGTGAGGGCGATTGTATGGCCGATTTTCTGAAAGAAAGTATACGTTCAGAATCTAACATATTTTTGAAAATTACTCAGCTTGATAAAACAGCTAAATCCCTTCAGAAGAAATGTAAATGAACTCTTTCACGACGTGGGCAGGTAACGATCCCCTCCAGAACAGAAGGTTCGAAAATTCTTTTGCATACCGAAATTATCAAGCACATCAGCTGATATGGTTTCTCACGCTGAATCACAATTTTAACTTTAAAATTTGAAAAAATCAAAATTTGATCGTCAAAGTTGAAACATCTTGGGCCCTTTGTTAGTAATTTCGTGACCTAGACATTTTCTGCAAAAAACTGACACATATGCTATTCGATAGAGAATTCAATTCTCCATAAAATGGCTCATCATTTTTCATGTTTTTATCCTCTAAACAAGAATTGGTTTCTTAAAAAACGAGTTTTTCGCTAAGCCAGATTTGTTATAAAACCTTTTTATACAACGCATTGAGAAGCGCGTACGTAGTATTACTAATATCTATAAAAAAATGCTTTTCTCTGTTACTTTCGTAATGAAGTTTAACCTTCTGATCTGAAGGGCAAAGAAATGACGAAATTCCATTACGGGACTTTTTCTCAATTTGTATTTCATTCGTTGATCTATTTCAAAAACCAAGTAAATATTCTGAAAGTTCATTCGAAAACTGCGCAGCTTGCGTCCGAAAAACATCCTGGAAGAAAAACTTAGAACATTAATTAGGTCGAGAAAAAAATCCATTTCTTGAACTTTCCGTGACTGTCCCCATTTTGCGTTCAACTTTGGTTTGGGTGAACTAAACCGAATGAAAAATTTTGTGGTAGTAGACCTCCAGGTTCTATATCTTTGATGAAAATTTTGACCCGTTTCCTTTCACCCTCGAAAAGTTAAACCTTCACAAGATGAAAAAATGAAAGTCCATCACGCTTGGCCACGCCGTTCGACTTTCAATTCTTTCTAAGAAAATACGTTCGCAAACGATGGTTTTAACTGCCAATAATAGTGTGTATACAGAGATGTTTCTGTGCACACGTACGTTTATACTTAATGAAAAGTGCGTGGACCATAATTCTGTCTAACAGTGTCACCCCATAAACGCGAATTATCTTTCATATGCTGTATCACGTAAGAATGAGTATTTCAGAAAATGGTGGAACTGAAAACTTACAATTGTGCGGGATGTATTTGAATTTTTAACCGTAACTGATTTCTGTATCTTCTTCTTCTGTGCCGTGGAAAGTTATGTGTGAGTTAGCTCGTATTTAACCTATACGTTCAGCCAGAGAAAGGCGGACACTGATCTTCCTCAGGCTTCGTTTCCTGGCGCAGCACTGAGCTTCAAGACTGAGCGAGACGTAGGCCGAAATGTGCCTGAATTGAGCGTGGAACTGATATCTTATTAGCCTTCTTACTTTACTACTAGACTTCGTCTCTCGACAAAAGATCACTGTAGTAAAAGCTGTATATGTGGCGATGTTTTTCGTGAGTCTAAAGTGAAAGCTAAATTTCTTACGCAAACAGCTCTAAGAAATACGTTGAATGGCAGATCGTGACTCTGTAAAAAGACTTATGTGGATTCATGCAAAATAATCGGGTTTCAACTCATCCCTTCAGTATGACGTTCCAAGACTCTACTATAATGGTCGTATAGTACGGAAGATACTGCGTTTCTACTGCATCACATTGGTTCATGTTCGCAGGGGAAAAACCATTTAGTTGCAATGCTAGTATGCTACGTCGTAACCTACAGTTTCGCTTCAAATAATATCGGTAGCGTGCATTTTGAGGTCCTTTTGATTGTCAATATTATTCTTTATACCTGGGAAAAATACGGGTTCTGCATCGTAAACGTGCATTTGTAGGTGGTCAATTAATTTTTGAATTGCAGTATCTAATGGTCGGTCTGCAGTGTCACGAAAGTCTATCCACGTACGACCGGCAATTACGAAACCCAATGCACCGCTGGGTTTCCAATTAGCACATAATCGACAGGGAACAATTTTAACTTTGCGCTCCATTGCATACTGGAATTCTTGTATACACATTTCTGAATCTTGATATTTCGGTGTCAAGAAACAACAAATAGCGGCAGCGTTTTCTACGGCGTCAGCCATCCTAAAAAAGTTTCGAAGAATATATGTGGATTTCTTCAATGAGGCAGTACTTGTAGTAAGCGTAACAAAAATTACTTTCTCCTATTTGTTTTGCTCCGCCTGAGCGAGTTTAAGTAGTTTCTGATCTGACCGTTCTTTAGATTTCGAGTATGTAGCCCAATAGATATGCGGAATTGCATATGACTGGTATTTTCTACAAGAGTTTACTATTAATACTGGATATGTCGGAGAGTCTCAGTTTGTTGGAAATTAAATTCTCTATTGAATGAGTCAAGTTTGAAAACTTTCTAACGCTATATCAGTTTGCTGAGTTTTCTGAAAAATCCGGACGTTCAGAGACCTGCATCTCAGAAAGTATAGATAGAGCAATGGGGTGAGAGTTGATTCATGCACTTTCAACTATCGACAATCTGAAAATCATAATGAGAACAAACTGGAACAGAGAGGAGCCAGTTCAAAATGCATTGCGAACTCGGCAATATATTGAAGAAAAACGTGTTTTCGCTTTCAAAGATGGTTTTGAGAAGGCTTTGTTTTAGGGTTCTGTAAAGTAAAAATTACTTTTTTCTATAGTTCAGATGACGAGGAATCCAATGTATTACTTGTTGTTGAGACTCGAGTTCGCTGTTATGGTGAAAACTTAATTTCAAACTAATCCTTTTTTTGCATTTTCGTACCATTTTGGAACAAGCGTTAGTGGACGACTAGAGCATTTTTGAGTTTTCAGGCAATAGAGAGTTTTGTTCCCTATATTTTTTTAGTATTATCCATCCTGAAAATTTCATCAAGGTCAGTTCATTCCTTTCTAAGTAAATTGGCTAGCTATCGGTCGTTTAATAATTAGGAAAACAAAAGCATTGAACTGTGACTCCGAGATGTTCGCATCAGTTTAGAACAATAAAAAGATATATGCTGAATTAGAATTTACGCACTTTCAAATGAGATAGGTGCCAATAAATTCGGCAGACGTTCATGTAAATGTGAGAGTTTTCCGGTGGAACAACCCTAGTATCACTTTTCAAAAAGGATGCACCTCGCATGAAAAAAAGCGATTGTTGTGTCTATGTGCATCTCTCCTCAGAACTGTTTGTAAGTGAAGGCCTTTTAATTTGAGTAAGAACTCATAGAATTGCAAGTAGCTTGAAGCTCTTGTTGATGCGCTTGCGATTATGAAACAGATAAAATGATCGAAGGCTTTCGTTTATGTCAAATAGCCTCGCTTAAGTGAACAAATGGTTTTACATATTCAGAAGTTCATTTCAATTGGGCCTTCGCTGAGCAGCTATTTGTGTTATACTTCTAGCGCTAAATGAAAAGACAGAATAAAAGCTGGTGATATCGCAACGCCTCTCCAGCAAAACGTGTTGACAAAAAACTATAATTAAACTGTCTCAATAGACTAGCTAAAAACAATGAGAGCAAGAAGAAAGTGAACTCACGCTTGGTACGTATTTGGTCCCATGCCACCTCTAATATCCATCCATACTTTCAAATTGTGTTCCTTTAATTTATCATATACTTTGATCACAATAGGTTGACTATCCCACTGATAAGACAACATTATATGTTTTCCAGCTGTCATTCTTTATAAGGCTAAACAGAAAGCACAGACAGATCATTTTTCGATGAACTTATTGAACCTATATCGCCATTGTAACAAATCTCACCAAGTATTGTGGTATTGTATTTACAGGATTATGTATCTTGTCATTTAACTCATATTATAATACACTGTCATGCAGGACTGTCAACTGTATCCCATTTCGATTTTTTTTACCTCACAAAAACTATATCCTTGAGGTACACATTTTGTACTCCATTTGGGCGTTTTTATTCCTTTTACACTGTATACGAATCATATTTTCATAGAAATCAATGAAAATTTCTAGTTTTAGTTGTGGCCATTTTTCTAGAGATAGGAAGTGCTAACTATACTGGTGGACTATAGTGACCAATAAGTGCCAGCAACGATTGCAACTGTTAAACTTGTCTTTTCCATTGATTTTTCAATCTCGCACTGGGAGTGAAACTGAATTTTGAACAGACTAGTCAAAATGGAATGTGAAGATGTTCACACATTTGTACAGGCTCGGCCATGGAATGATGAAACGTAAAAGAAAGAACCAAAATATACAGTTATATAACAAGACTTATGCCAGTTGATTTGAATCAGGGATGTCCCAAGCAGGTGGTCGGCGGATGATCTTCTCTCAATAATCGAAAATTGTCACTTGGGTGTCACTGAAAGATGAGAGGTATTGTGGCAACTCAAAGAAGCTAATTGCTTTGTTCATCGAAATCCTGAATCAAACGGTGTTTTTTCATGATAAAATTGTAGATAAAAATAATAAAAATCTCGCTTTACAGAAAAGTAACAGGTCCGTATCCTCTGTCTTATTACACGCGCATTATATAGAAGGAGGAAGTGATAAAGCGGTCACACAGGAAGGAGAATGTACAACAGGCACAAAGGAGAAGCAGTAGGGCGTGTTGGTTAGTGTCAGGAAAGTGTAACGGTACTAACTGTTACAACCCCTGCTTTCATGGTTATTGTGTAATTGAAAAAAACGTCTTACTTGATGAAAAAGCTTTTAGAGTGTTTCTTTTCAGACATTGTAATCATGAGGAGAAAGAAAGAAAGAAAAACAAACAAACAAAAGAACACAGTTTTTCTTTCAATTGTTCATTTTTTTTCAGGTGTACAATAAAAGCAAAAAAAAATTACCATCGAAGACATTATTTAGTAGGCAATGACCTCTACGCGAAATAACTGTTGCTAGTTTAGAACAAGCAGATGTGGCCGATTTCGTCCTTGCTTAAGGGACTTATCAGACGGCATGTTCTAATTCATCATTATCCTAAGATAATGATGAAACTGCAATCAAACCCTATAAAATAGAGAAGATACAGTATAAAGTATGGCTACTATATTAGAAGAAGCAGCCGTGACCGGTTTCGGTGTTATGTTAGGATAATGATGAATTAGAACATGCCGTCTGATAAGTCCCTTAAGCAAGGACGAAACCGGTCACATCTGCTTGTTCTAAACTAGCAACAGTTATTTCGCGTAGAGGTCATTGCCAACTAAATAATGTCTTCGATGGTAATTTTTTTTTGCTTCTATTGTACACCTGAAAAAAAATGAACAATTGAAAGAAAAACTGTGTTCTTTTGTTTGTTTGTTTTTCTTTCTTTCTCCTCATGATTACATTTTCAGAAAAGAAACACTGTAAAAGCTTTTTCATCAAGTAAGACGTTTTTTTCAATTACACAATAACCATGAAAGCAGGGGTGTGGGTGTGGGTGTGGGTGTGGCTACGGGTGTAGATATCATTCTCTTCCTAACACCCACACCCACACCCACACCCTTCTTTGGTTAATTTACTCTCGAGAACTACATTAGAAATAAATTTTTTGTCTTCTACCTGTTGTTTACAATAGGTGTCTTACGGGTAATATGATTGAGGTGTCATGACGAATGATTCTTTTTTCTTTACCTTGGCACCAAGGTAATTTCATGAATATCTGGCCTTGTATTGGATTGTTTCTTTTTTTTTTCGACTTTTTTTCAACTAAAAAATTTTAATAAAGAATAATACAGGTAAGACACGCATACAAAATGGCATATGAGACAAAATGTAACTGAAAACGGTATGTTTAACTGATTTATATATATTGAATTTTGCACATGAGAAAACGGAGAAGGTTTTTTTCACTACAAGATATAATAGAAATCATATGTATCCTGTGATCGTTATATTTCGACTCACATATTAAAATAATTCAATATCTTTTCAATCTAATTTTTTCTATTAAATAGGCGAGCTAGACTACAATATATATATATATATATTTCATCGATAATAATGGCTTTTTAATAAGGCACAGAGAATAAAAGCAAACTGTAAGAATATTTAAAACACTGCGCAACAAAAAAAAAAAGAAAAATCAATAGTTTTTACTTTTTTTTAACGAATGATCATAATTTAAAAGAGATGAATAATTATTATAAGAATTTTGTCTCATTATGATACCAAACAAATGTATTCTTAATTATTCTCTGTACGTGTGAAATAACACATGGTACATTATACTGTTTCATTTCTTACAATTTTAAGTTCCTTGGCTACAAAAAAAAGTCAATTTTCGTCAGAATAGTCAAGATTAAGATTATTATATGGAAGATAATCTGCCATTTATTCTTTCGTCTATGATAAAAACTGTTCGATATTTCATTTTGCTCGGAAAAATTTGCAAGATTTTGAAAACTCCTATTCGAAAAATCTTTTTCATTTTGTCTTAAAATGGTATTAGAACGCCGAATCTTCGGTGAAAGTGAACTATAATGCTACATTAAGTAAAATATTTTTTGTTTGTTTGAAAGAACATTAAAAATTGCAATGCCTATGAAAGCTCTCTTTTTTGATAAAACTCTGCTATAATCATATTGATAAGCAATTTTATAATATAAGCGCCATTATTTTAAGAGATTTAGTAGTAATTAAACCTGTTAGACCTTTTTTGTCTCCAAAAATATAAGATTAAAAAGAACAAGACTTTCATAGACATTGCATGTGGACACACTCTTTCAAACAAGACGACAATGAGGCATATTGAATGAACACTCAAAGAGAATTTTTGGTGACAGAATAGACTATTGTTTCACGCTTGTTTGATTTATATCTTCCCTTTGCATTAGGATAGAAGACTTATCATTTTACTACATATGTCCTCCAACTCTCATGGTATTTATATGGATATGTGTGTGTGTATGTGTGTAGTATATTTCTTGATCAATATTTACAGCCAGTCATATCCTGAAAATTCAAAATATGATATTTGTCGACTTTTAAATTAGCTATTTGAGAAGGTTTGCTTTATGGCCATGCTTTATATGCATGAATATTATCATTTATGAAGTTTATTACATCAATTAAAATTATGTCACTAAAGTTAATAATAAGATTTAATATAAGTACTTGTTCATAGTATTCATATGAATAATATTTTAGATTAATTATTAATGCAAAGTAAAAAATTAGTTCATTTGATTAATCCAAAGCAAAGATTTAAAAAATTTTCTATTCTGATGCCATTTATCAACTATTTACCCTATTTATTTATATACATATAATATCTAAGCTGATCTATTTGAAAAAAAAAATATTATATTGGAAAATAATCATATCATTTTCATATGTAAATCGAAAGAAAATGAGTAGCGAGAAATTCATAAGATCAACTATATATCATGTGTAGATGAAATAAAGGATGTTATTAATTTTTGTATGGCATGAATGCCAGTCGCATTCCTCAGTCTGCATATAATCATATGCATATTGACATTTTATAATGCAGATGAACTTTTCAATTAAATTTGTAAAAAAATCAAGAAGTAGATTCAATTTCAAGCGGTCTACTCAATGTTTCTTGTAAACTCTACATTAACTAAGATTTGTCATCGAATCATTAAGTTTTTATCGCTTATCCATTTTCATACATATTGCAGTATCTTACTACTGATATAAGTTTAGCAGAGTATTGATTTCATCATCATTCGGTTTGAATTGACGCGTTTTAATAGATATGTGCGTTTGGCTATAAGATTTGAGCATTATTTTGAGTTTACACTTACGCTTTTATATACTGCTTGAAATAAATAAACAAACAAATATCTGATATACACTGAACATATTCAGAAGAACTTAATTAACCTTATAATGACAAATGCGTGTCAGTATTTCTACCATTGAGCGAGAAAAAAAAAGAAAACTCTCACACTATTTTCCTTTTTTGTAATCGATAAAATTATTTAAGGTAACTACTATGATAGTTTTTGCATAATAGATGTATAATAAACAATAATCAAGTGTAACAATATGGAAAATCCTGAAACGCAATCAGCACGTTTACAATCGTATGTCCACATTACGGAGGCCGTTCATAAGGTAAGTAGTAGGCAAAATTCAACCGTTGAACTATATGAATATGTTTTCTACATTCTAGTGGGTAGTCGAAAATAATAATCAATATAGCGACAGACAGTCTGAATCCCATTTCTATCATTTATTCATTCATTCATTGATTCATTGATGTGTATCATTTAGAATTAAAGATTATGGACAAATACATTTCACACAAAATGATCGCAAATCATGGGTAAGTCTTAACCTTTACTTCGAAGAATATTGATTGAATTAATATTAGTATATACGTTACCCATTCGATCCTCCTCAAGCTGATGAATCGGCATCACAAAATGAAACTCCTGAGCAGAGAACAAATCATACTACCGTAGAAGAACGAAATCGCCAATGGAATTTTTCTGTGATCCAACAACTGCCTACGATTCATACTATTGTTCCTATGCGATCTGTATCACACAAACCTGCTAAACATCTGATTGAATTGTTACGCGATAAATGGGAATTGCCTCCACCTGAATTAATAATTTCAGTCACAGGTGGTGCAAAAGTCTTTAATTTACCACAAAGAAGTCGCATTGCTCTTCAAAAGGGTCTTGTCTCAGCTGCTGTGACGACTGGTAAGAGTCGACATTGATATTATGTTTATGCCTATCTTTGAATAGATGCTTGGGTGTTCACTGGAGGAACGTATGCTGGAGTTATGAAGGATGTCGGTGATGCATTCGAAAAATGGACATATAAAACTAGTAGTGTGGATAGAGGTCATGTTCAAGTTCCTGTTATTGGGATTGCAAGTTGGTATTATGCGACAAGTAAGAGAAAATGAACATGCTATTCTGATCAATATTCGCTTTTGTTATTCAAAAATAGATCATAGACAACTCATTCAACGACGACGTGTGAAATTGAGTAGTGTAGGAGTATGTATATAATTTTCATAGATCTCCCTAGAAATGAAATCATGATCTAGAGCGCAATGCCAACAGCGACATTTAGCACAGTAGCCGATCGTGAAAAATTGTATCTCAATTGTGTACCACAAGAGAAGCCAGCATCATATCCTCTTGATCCAAATCATACTCATTTTATTCTACTTGATGATAAATGTGGTCCGAATGATGAAACTTGGAGACGATACGGATTTCCAGTTCGAGCCGATCTCACTATTCAGTTGCGTGCTGAAATTGAACAGGAAGCTCGTTGTAGCTCTCATTATAGACACAGTAGGTAATACTCTTCTTTTTCTAGTTATTAGATTCTATTCGTCCATAGATTATAAAATTCCCATTATTCAAATTCTAATCGAAGGTGGACCTTCATCTCTTCTAACAGTGGTTGAAGCAGTAATGCACGAAACACCTGTCTTTGTCATTGACGTACATATTTAAAATACAATTCAACAGAAAAATATACTTCATTTTCACTTTTATGTAGGGTACTGGCAGAGCGGCTAATTTTATTGCAAAAGCATACAAGGCATTATATGACAATCAAACAACATATTTTCCACCAGCGAGCAATAATGCTAATTTGTGATATTCATATTTTCTTTTGCAAAAAAAAAATAAACTTATATTTTAGAGAACGAGTAATAATAGAAGACGGTAAGGATATCATCACTGGAAGTAATGAAAAGTGTTTTCGTGACATGATAAGATCAGAAAAAGGTTTCTTTTTAATCAATACTTTTTTACTATGTCCTGACGATCCCGAATTTAAATTGAGTGATGCCATACTTCAAGCATTATTTCGAGGTATTTACATAATTCATATCGATTTCTGAATGTTTTTTTTACCTAGCGGCATGCATGCTCAAGCATAAAATACCTGATGCTCATGTACAAAAGCTCAAATTAACAATGGCGTGGAATAAGTTTGATCTAGCCATTTGAGACATGCTCATCGAAAACGTTAAAGCTCAGTGGACAGTAATTATTCTAAACGAAGAGAATCTTAATTTCTGATTTCTACTACATTTGAAAGGATATTCAATTAGACAGTGCTTTAATTCATGCAATACAGCATGGTTCTGTACAGTTTGTCGAACTACTTATTGAACGAGGTGCATCATTCGATCGACTTCAACGGTTAATTAATATTAAAGACTTATACAAGAAAGTGAGTGAAATTCTGTAGCATTTCTACATACCATTGAATATTTATAGAAAACTGGTTTACCATTGCCGAAAAAAGAAATTCCAGTAGACGATAATAAGAAACAAGAAAGGTATTACAAACAATATCTGAATACAGAAGTACTACAAATAGATGAAATTTTCCAAGTAAACAAACTTATCAGTCAAGTTCGACAGTATTAAAGTTTTTGTTTTCTTTTTCAGGGAAAAAAAGCGTTGCATCCGAGTAGGACGAAGAAAAATGTCATAAATACTATTTTATATTTTTATTCTCAATTCTAGGCAATATCGATATCTATGGTACTATTGAGAATTTTCCCGGGCATATCACTAAACCAAATGGATTTGTTGTCTTCAATGGAGACGATGTTATTAGACAAAATGGTTATATAAAACAAGTTTCTATTCATTTTTCGAATTCTCACAGTCCATCAGTGGCAACGGACACATCAAATCATGTAGTTCTATATATTATTTCGCCCACATCCGAGACAGATTGTTTTCAAGTAGTCGATGCATTAGAGACAGACGTTCAGGATTATCAATATGATAAAAACAAACTAACAATTCATATGTACAAGTATGCTGTCTATGTCGAGCAAGGTCAATATTTGGCTATTGGCTTTGATAAGAATTCACGTTCTCCAAGTTCTTTGGGTGATTTGAGTTCGTGTTATACACTTGATATTGATGCAGTTAATCGAGTTTATATGAACGAAACTTCCATTAAATTTCAATGGAGTCATGAACGAGTAGCAATTAGTTTTCAAATAATTTTAACTTCAGGTAGGATTATACTCTTCCATAATGAATAAAAAACTTCTTATTAAATCGATCGAAATTTGTTTTTTGAAATCTATTCGGATATTGAAAAAAGTGAAAGTTAACTAAATATACGTTTAGAATTTATTCGTGATATATATCTTTGGTCAATATTTGCTGCTAACTTTAATTTATCTATCTGTTTGTGTTCACATAGCCCGGTGCGTTTTGTTTTCTTTATTATTTTTAATTGCTTACTAATAATTGAAATAGAATCCAATCGTAGCTGCACTTTTGGCTAGTAAGATTCATAAAAAAGCAGCCGAATTAGTTGATGATAAAGAGCTAAAAAGAAAACATCTTCCAAAAAAAGAGTACGACAAGAATATTTTTTCAAAACTTTATTTTCATAATATTTTCTGTGTTGTACACCAGAGAATTCGATACACATGCAATACAAATTATTGATAAATGTTATTCTCAAGATGAAAATTTTGCTTTACAACTATTGACAACACAATCAGATTTATATTTCGGCTATTCTTCATTGAAACTAGCTGAAGAAACGAATAACCGTTCATTTCTAGCTACTAGATGTGTACAAGCGTATGCCAATCGACTCTGGTACGGTCATATTGACAATTCTATTAATAGAAGAACTTTTATTGATATACTGGTCAGTAATGTATCATTGAACTTTATTTAACTATTGATATTTGAAAATATTACAGATGTGTGTGCTGTGTATTTTTCCTTTTCTGGTAATATTCTCTGGCATTTATCGGATTATTCAATCACCGATCATCAAACGAACGTAAGTTGAAAAAAAAACCTTTTTGCTAATGATTTCATTATTGAGAGTACTTTTCGATTAAACTGTATTCCAATCAAGATTATTATCGATTACAATCGGTTAGATTTTTAATTCGTATCTTAGATTAATAATCCAAAGAAATCATTGTAATCGATTGTGATCATTTTGTTTTTCAACAGAAATTCTTACATTAAGAATGAATATTCAATTTAGTGGCACACGTAGTTGGCCAAAAAGAATAATCTATGATCGACTGAAAGACTTCTTTGGTGGAAGAGCTATCATTCGATATTATTACAATATTGTAAGTGATTAGATTCAATTTGAACAGTATTATGTATTGAATATTATTATAGATATTTTATGTACTCATGTTGTGTCTATTCAGTTTTGTTATGCTGGTCGACTACTTTCCATACAATAACAATCGAGGTAAACGTAGTGGTTATTCAATTGGCATTCCAATTCCTGAAATCATTCTTCATATGTGTATTTGGGGACTAATCATCGAAGAAGCTGTTGAAGTATGTAAACAATTCTTTTGAGTTGCTTTAGTGAAAATAATAATCAGTCTTTAGTTCGGCATTCACTATCGTCAACAAAATAAAAGCAATAGTCGCTTATATACTATTATTTCATCGTATTTTATCGATGACAGATGGAATGTACTCGATGCTGTGGCTATATTTATCTATCTCGTTGGTTTTATTACGAGATTCATTGTCATTGAACAAGCCTTTGTCATATCAAAGTCAGTTCTTCTAATGTTAATTTTTCTTTCAATTTTCGTATGTGTTTTTCATAGAATTTTTATGTGCATCGATCTCTTTTTATGGTATGTACGTATTCTTCATTTGTTCTTTGCCTACGAACGACTTGGACCCAAATTATTAATGATATGTAATACAGTAAGAAAAAATCATTATGCTCTGATAATATAATACATTTGAACCTGTTTTCAGATGAAAGATTTACTCTTCTTTATTTATTTCATTTTTGTTTTTCTTGCTGCCTATTCAATCAGTTCTTTTGCACTTATCATTACTCCACATCAAGTTAATTGGATTCCAAATAACAATAGTGCATCTTCTCGTACATATAAAATCATAGAGAACAGAACTAATATCTCAGTATGGAATCTATTACGAAATATTATTGATTGGGGTATTTGGAAGATTTATGGCCAAGTTGATCTAGTTGATTATAGACAAGACTCTGAATCGATTATTACACGTAAGTCACATCATATTTGTTTTCATCATATTTGAAATATTTTTAAATAGTTTCTGCTGATGCCTATGGAAATTCGGCATTTCTTTTGACAATAATCTTTGTTTGCATCTCTAATGTACTTCTACTCAATGTTCTCGTAGCTCTTTTCAAGTGAGTATTCAGTCTTCAACAAAACTTGTTTTTTTCTAGAAATTTAATATTACCTGTGCTCAATACTTCAAAAAGTTCACTTATGCTGTTTTACAAACACATATCACTTAAAAGACTAGCAATATAAGGAATCTATTTGTTGAGGCATCTATAGCTTCTCCAAAAATGATCTATTCACATAAACTAACGAGAATTGTAGTGATGAACAGTGTTATTTTTCTTTAATTGAATACTAATAGAAAATAAAAGAATAAAACTTTGATGAGAGATCATTGATAAGATCCAGTCATACCTGCGATGTCTCAAAATCAAATTCAATGTAGACACATGCAAATAGTATGAAATTTTCAGTTTTGTATCATGATACTTAATGGAGATATTCTCTACTTAAGAGTAAAAATTACCTAATTTTGTCATTTGATTTCTTCTGTGATTTTTAATTCCATATATCTAATTTGTCTCGTATCAAAGAGTATGTCGAAAAATAAAGCATAATAGATTTTTTTTTATAAAGTTTGACGAAAGATTTCTATCAAAGCAACTAGCAACTGCCTCTAGTTTCAGTCATATTCCATGGTTTTCATTTGAGACAATTAGCTATTAATATTACGAATAAATATTTGTTTAACTACTACTGAAGTAGTATAGAGCGAGGTGGATAAGATACATTGAGTTTAAATCGAAAAATTAACATTAGAATACTGTAGTACATTCATTATTTTTCTTTTAGTATTACACTTATAAAAACGAATATTAATGCACAGAAAGACTGGGGTTATTATCGATTTCTACTTGTGAGAGAATATTCGAGAAAATCTCCGATACCATCTCCATTCAATATCTTATACTATATTATTCAACTAATTTTTATATTAATTCGATTTCTTGGCAAGAAAAAGGGTGAATAAATTCGAAAATAAATCTTATCGATTACGTTAAATTAAACATAAAATTTTAATTATGCTTACTAAACTCAATTTATTAAGATAAAAATTAAAAAAGCAATTATTTCATGCATAAACAAAAAATAATTAGTTCTTAGTTTTACATTTGTTGATTCTATTATTTTAGTCGCTCGAAATAGACTCTTAAGTAACAGTCAATTTTGTTTTCGATGAAATTTAGAAAATGTCAACATATTCTCTCATGTAGATTTTACCACTTTTATGGGCATACATCGATCAATGATAATTCTTTTCCATGTCAAAAAAAAACATTGAGATATCTTATTATGTGTGACAATCACTCAGTTACATCATTATCAGGCTTTGAATTTAGATGACATATTGTAACTATACGTATGTATCATTTATATAAGGTTTACAACAATAGCTAGCATAGAAAAAAAACAATTACTCTTACTTCGTTATTCTTTTAACATAATGTAAATTGGTGAATTTGTCTGAATCTTTATTTTTTTTAAAATGACCTATATTAGATAAAAAACATCTGTTATTATGAATTTAATAGTACAGATTTGTATCATGTTATCGATTTTAACAAATTAAATCAACAAAATTTAGACATATTCATCAGATTGAAACACATTAGAAGGACGTTCTTATAAACAGTCGGAGTGATGAGTTGGTGAAGAAATTCATTACAAAATATTGCATATTGAATCAAGTTATGATTGAGAAAATTTAAAAAAAACAAAATTTTTGTGACAGTCATCTTTCATAAAACTAACCTATTTATTTATGAGAAGAAGCATTTATTATTAAACATTTTCAAAGTAAAGATAAATATCTGATTTTCATTCATGTTACCTGTTCAAATCTAAACATTTTCCTTCTCTTCTTATTTTGATGAAAAAGTTGAAATGAGTATCGAACATTTTGATCATTTAAAGAAATATATTGAGAGAAACTCTTACTTTTGCGGTAATCGCCTACACCTGTCACTCTGGAATTTCTCCACGATTAAACTATGCAGAAAATACTTCATATTCCTTGTTCGTCCATTAGAATATTAGAATTTTTCTATAAATAAAATAACAAAAGTTCTTAATATAATGAATTGACAGTTGGAACCAAACATATTTGTATATTTTGCACGAATAGTGTTTCAATAAATATCTACTCACTGTTAATCGTATTTCTGTTTGAAATTTATCAAAATAAAGAATTTCTAAACCCTCATCTTGTCATTTTTAGATAATGTCTACATTCTTCTTAATGACAGTCGCAAATTGGATGCTAATGTAACAGATTTGATAGTATTCAATGTTGATAATCGTGTTATCAATGATGGTATTGTTGATAAGATCTTAATAAACTTTTGTACAGCTCCTACTGATTCGAATGCAAAAATTAAAGTATACATTATCAAATCAGTATTGAGTAGTAGTGAGCACTTTTTTGTGCAAGAACAAATCGAATCATTCGTTACCAATCTTAGACCATCTGTTGGAATTCAGAAATTTGAAATTGAACCATTCAGAGTACATTATGGTGATTATGTTGGCTTCAAGTTTACAGAAAATGCTGGTTGTCCATTCAGTATTGAATGTGCTAGCTATTATGTTGAACACATTATTGATCAGAATATAGAGAGAGAAGTAATGCATTTCACTCCAAGTCCCAAGCATGGCATTACAGTAACATTTACTTTGAATCATAAAAAAAGTAATACAAAATATTTGTTTCTGCTTTCTTTATGATTCAAAGTAAATGTTACTGTGATGCCATGGTTGGCACATGGAGTGAAATGCATTACTTCTCCCTCTATATTCTGATCAATAATGTGTTCAATATAATAGCTAGTACATTCAATACTGAATGGACCACCAGCATTTTCTGTAAACTTGAAGCCGACATAATCACCATAATGTACTATGAATGGTTCAATTTCAAATTTCTGAATTCCAACAGATGGTCTAAGATTGGTAACGAATGATTCGATTTGTTCTTGCACAAAAAAGTGNTCAACAATACCATCATTGATAAAACGATTATCAACATTGAATACTATTAAATCTGTTACATTAGCATCCAATTTGCTACTGTCATTAAGAAGAATGTAGACATTATCTAAAAATGAAAAGATGAGAGTTTTGAAAATTCTCTATTTTGATAAATTTCAAACAGAAATACGATTCACAATGAGTAGATATTTATTGAAACACTATTCGTGCAAAAGATACAAATATCTTTGGTTCCAAATATCAATTCATTATATTAAGAACTTTTGTTATTTTATTTATAGAAAAATTCTAATATTCTAATGGACGAACAAGGAATATGAAGTATTTTCTGCCTAGTTTAATCGTGGAGAAATTCAAGAGCGACAGATATAGGCAATTACCGCAAAAGTAAGAGTTTCTCACAATATTTTTCTTTAAATGATCAAAATTTTCGATACCCGTTTCAACTTTTTCATAAAAATAAGAAGAGAAGGAAAATGTTTAGATTTGAACAAGTAACATGAATAAAAATCAGATATTTATCTTTACTTTGAAAATGCATAATAGTTAATGCTTCTTCTCATAAATAAATAGGTTAGTTTGATGAAAGATGACTGTCACAAAAATTTTGTTTTTTTTAAATTTTCTCAATCATAACTTGATTCAATATGCGATATTTTGTAATGAATTTCTTCACCAACTCATCACTCTGACTGTTTATAAGAACGTCCTTCTAATGTGTTTCAATCTGATGAATATGTTTAAATTTTGATGATTTAATTTGTTAAAATCGATAACATCATATAAATCTGTACTATGAAATTCATAATAACGGATGGTTTTTGTCTAATATAGGTCGTTTATTAAAAAATAAAGATTGAGACAAATCCACCTATTTACATTATGTTAAAAGAATAATGAAGTAAAAGTAATTGTTTTTTTTAATGCTAGCTATTGTTGCAAACCTCATATAAATGATACATACGTATAGTCACAATCTGTCCTTCTAAATTCAATCAATTTAAGAAAAACAAAAAGACAGGTATTAATCTCAACTACACAAGCATGATAATGATGTAACTGAGTGATTGTCACACATAATAAGATATTTCAATGATTTTTTTTTCGATATGGAAAAGAATTATCATTGGTCGATGTATGCCCATAAAAGTGATAAAATTTGCATGAGAAAATATTATGTTGACATTTTCTGAATTTCATCCAAAAAAAAAATACACTATTACTTAAAAGTCTATT